TTACCCTATGGATAGAGATTCCTTCAGAATCAAATTGATACTAAAGCCCCTTACATGACTCCGTCATATCCGACATTTCTCTCAAATTCATTCGCTTATATCCTTCAAAAAGTAACGAAATATGTCCCGTGCTTCTTTGGGTTCCATGCTCTAAAGGATTCCTGACGCAGTTGTCGACAAATATGTGACATCAGCCCAGAGCTCGAGCGATTTTGCAATTCGGCAGTCCCTGCTCTTTTTTTGCAGGAATTTGATCCTTCTCCAGATTGAATAGCAAGTTTTCTTAACCCTGAAACTCTGAAATTGGAAAACTTGACACAAGTTAAGCAGTTGTGTTAGGTGAAAATGGAATGGGAATATGAGGTTTATCGATTTGTAACATAGGCAAGGTGAGCTTTCCCGAAAAAATGAAGGGAGAACCGTACATGGTAGAGAGGTGGAACTTGTTTTTGGTCTACAATTCATGGGTGGCTGTACTTCTCGGTACACGTCCAACCACAATGAGGATTTGGTATCGTTCCTCTAAACAGCCTGCAACCATTTTCGAACAGAGATATGCATGGCCCCTACTCTCATGCAATCATTCCGTTGGTGCGCTCTGGTTTGTCACATGAAATTCATCTATCGAATTCGATGCCAGCCGCGCCGTGCTGAATATATGGGTGAAACAAGGCACTCACTTAGCCCTCGAATCAAGGAATATTTGAAGGGTAAAGAAAATTCAACCTTCAAACACGTCTGGAGATGCATCGAATTCTGTGTCAGGATGGTAACGAATTAGCAAATTCAGTGACCATGTTGGCAATAGGAACGGAGAACATTGAAAGACCTTTGAGACGTGTTGCATTGCCGCCAGGGATTTACAGGTTAATAGGCAAGGGGAGTGATATGGCAATAGCCCGTTCACCGACATCTGCGAATTGTAGGCCTTTTAGAAGTCAGGAAAGAGGGTGGCTTGCTTATTGTATGCAGAAGTTCACTTTTGGGGGGGGGGGGAACGGTCTAGCACTCTAGCTTCTTCTATCGAAATAGCCCCTGTACCATGTAGCATTCTTGTATCAATCAAATTCGGGGAGCGAGAAGATCTCCTGGTTCAAAGAAACGTCTGGAGTACTTATGACCGTATATGAAGGTCGACCCCTCTATCAGTCTCTCAACCGATGGCTCTGACAAAGAGGCCCAAACGTCCGATTATGGAGTTATGAATGCTCGATCTCACCTCGCCTACTTCGGTGCACGCTCCCTCCACTAAAAAAATTTTAACATTTTTCTTTCAACAGCCTCCTGCCACTTTTTTGGGTAACTGAGCATTTTCAAAACAAGGCCTTGCCTTTTAACAAAAACGGCTTTCGTTTGAGAGAGTCCTGCCGTTCTTGGCATGCCTAGTATACTTTAGATTTTGCTTATTTTTGCTTGTTTGGACTTCACGCTTTAGAGAAAGCTCAGTGGACCAGAGCTCCGCTGAGCTCACACGTGCAACTGACCTGGCCCTATGCCTCCGCCATCCCAAACTTGATCGATCTTTCAGGTGCTTTCTGTGTTACTTAATTTCGTGACAAACAGACAAAATCGCTTTATACATACATAGCAAGATACTCAGTCGGATTTGCACGGTTGTCCCTTTATTCCTTTTTTTTCGAGAGAATTTCATTTCTGCCTCCATATCTTCCATATCTCCAGAGGGGTGCAGAAATAGTTTCCGAGATGCGCACTCGCATTCGGCTTTCATTCATGGAGTGGCATATGTAATGCGCACCGATATTCCAGCCCACACCGTCACTTACTGTGGATAATATGATTTTTCAACCTTGACTACACTTGAAGACCTTTCTGGCAGCGGCTTTCACTGATTCTGCGCGTTTCGTAATGGTACAAAAATGATGTCTCGCCTTTCAACAAGATTCTCCAAGTTTTTCAGCGCGCACGAGGGTTTCCCTCTTCCTGCATTTTTTCAGTCTTGGGACCTTCATTTCGTTGGTAAGGTGTCGCCTTTCTGCAAATCTGGAAGAATACAAATTGATATCCTCCTTGACCAGTCGATGCATAGTGGAGTTGCTCACATTGAGCTCTTTAGCATGCTCGTGCTTCTTTCAGGATCTCGTCGCAGTTGACTTTGACAGCTTTTCGAAGGGCAGAAGTACTGGGAACTCATTCGGAGTTGTGCTATCGGGCGACGTCTGTACGCTAATTATCGTAGTTCTCTGTTGTGGTCATTATTGTCCACTAGTGCTTCTCACTTGGTGTTCTGTTCCCGTAGCGAGACATGTGGCTGGAAAAAAGCAGTTGGATATCCCTTCAAGCGAACATCTCGAAAAATGTGTTCATGCAGGAAGTTCTCTTCGCGATATGCTTGTCCATCTGCTGAATTGTTTTTCCGTTGACCCATTCTCGTCTGTTTATTAGACTTGTAATGTCGTGATCACTTGTCACGTAGCGAGACCGCGGTGACTGACCGCCTTGGCTTCGACTTGATGAGTTGATGAGTGCGATAGTAGTTCATTTGATTTTGTTCAGCCTTGACGTAACTGTCCACTAAGAACCGTTGATAAAGTTTTCCAGCGAAGCGTATTACTATTTATTTATTAGTCCTGGTACTGACATACCGAATCTAAATCTCATTAGCTGAAGATGCGATTCGTACGTCATGTTGCTTGCTTAATTGTAATTTCATGGATTTGTTGTGTCTTGACGTAATTTAATGGTTGGCTTCATCGGTGCGGGATCATCCATAATCCCCGTCTCATGAAAAATTGCGGTGGAGATCTGGTTTTGTCCGGTCCTCTCCTTATAGTAGTTTTGGTGTATTTGCTTGGAAAAGCCGGCAAATCTTCCGCATATCCACTGGATTGCTGAAGACATGGTGCCGGCAATATACGATAAATGCCTTGTTTGACTTAACTGTTTGAATTTTCGTGAGAAATACTGCGAGCCGTTGTCGGGAGCGAGCACATCTGGCATTCCCTGTCTTACGTATTTTTCAAGTGAGAGACCTATCGTGGCCCGCTTCGTCGTACGATTATTGATGAAGATCGTTTTCCATTTTGAAAAAGCCTCGGCAATAACTAGGAAGTAGATTCCTCCGCATGTACAGTCATAATTAACGTGGGTTTCTAGACAATGGCAAGTTGGATTGATGCATGCGTCGCCTTCTCTATGAATTTAGCGACAGATGAGAATGTCGTGCAGTATCTCGGATTCCCTGTCGATCTCTGTCTAGTAGGCATCGCCTCTATTCATGACATTCTACGGTGTCCGTAAGGCAAACGTGCCGGCGAGGGCGCAGGCATGATCGTTCGATAACTTACAAGGAAGGTCTTTCAAGGCTTGAGACGCTTTTCGAAAATGGTTTCCTGCATGGTGTAGGGGCATGAGCACCGAGTATGGCGTGATTGAAGCAAAAAGCCGAACTGATGAAAAAACTACGTAGGGAAGTCGAGGGGGAGGGGGTAGGAGGCGGAAAGGGGGGACTCCTGGGCGTGTGAAGCCTGGAAGCTCCTCCACTGGTAGTGCTTCACACATCAAGTTCTAACGACTTGTGGAGGCTATGTGCCTGGCTGGTCCTGGTCACGACCATGACCAGTCAGGCACTTGCTTTGGCTCTGGTGCAATATGGAGCCAATCTGGAGGTGGCAGCATTAAATGCAAAAACGGCAAAACCCCGGAGATTCGAACCACCAACACAGACTAGTCGCTCCAACTCGAAGTCCACATCGCTATCCACCACACCATCCGTCGCTGACAGCAGTTCAGCCTGTGGACACCTCATATGAAACTTCCCCGCACGTTCAACATGTTTCAACATGTAGCCCCCTTTTTTTGGCTACCGTTCAGGCTATTTTCAATGAGCAGACCACTGGCGCCTTCCACTGTGCAGACAGTCGACGCCATGAAGGAAACAAACGACGCTTAGGGGAATAAAACGGCAATTTTTGACAAAATCATTCTCACTTATTTTTTGGCATTTAGAAGGCCATTTAGCGGAAATGGACCATAGTTCTATGTTCCGTGCTCATGCCCCTACACCGTGCAAAAAACCATTTCCAAAATGCGTCCCACGCCCTGAAAGTCGTTCCTTGTTAGAGCAGACATCCTACGGGTGTTGAAAGTGCTTCGCGACGGTTGGAGAAGCACTGTAAGCTGCAATTCGTCATTTCCGTAGACCACAATTCTCGATGTAGCTATTGACATGCTAGAGAAGGCGATCCTCTGCTGTTCACTGTTTGATGTCGTGTGCTATGATTGTTTGTACACGAACTGCAAATACACAAAATTGGCGGCATACCTTGCTCTTCTTCAGAAATGGGAAGACGTACAATTAGGAGTGGGGCCCATCCGTCTGTGTAACGCATCAATTAGTCCATACTGGATGTTGAAATCACCAGGACGATTGCTCTCGTCTTTGCAGCCAGTCGGCACTGTGTAGTAGGATCTTTTTTTGCAAATCGAAAATGGAAGGAGAAGTTCTGTGATCCGTCAGCAGTGTGAATTTGCATCGGAGCGTCTCATGGAACTTTTGAGCAGCCAATATAGACGCAATATCAGTTTTTCTCAGCTGGCAGTGGTAACAAGCAACTGCCTTTTCCGACCCATTCTTGAAGCAATGTAGAATGCACCCAACCCATGATTTGATGCGTCTGTGGCTGCGGTGATTTCCTGAATTGGACCATAATGGTTAAGAAGCAGATCTGAAGGATGTTTCGCTTTTGCTCTCTCGAAACTGTCGTTGTAGGTTTCTCTCCATTCAACTCAACATTTGTCATAATAAAAGCGTCGAGTGGAGCGCTAAACTTCTCACCTCTTTGACGAAATAGCCGTCATAGCTTGCGTTGATTGCGTCCATGGAGTGAGTGTAAAAAGGAGACTTGTGGTCACAATGTACTGTTCTCCAGCCTCCTACGTTCGTGATGCACACAGACATCGGGGTGCCATTGCGCTTGATGTTCCATGATACATGTACCTCCGTGTACATATACTCCTTATTTCAGGAAGGGCAAATACGAATGTATGAAACACGGCCACCAAGCCCGAAAACGCCATCACCATTGGATCATCAGGTTTTGTGGAGGTTTTTATATACTACAGGTAATCGTTTCCGTGAAGTATTCTAGGTGGCTATTCGACGTCTCAGGGACTATAAGGTTCAAGAGTTGAAGAATGAATGCAAGAAGAGGCAATTACCAGTCTCGGGTAGGTAGCGGCTACACTCGACCATTTCTGGATAAGCTACTTGACTTTTCTATCCGTGCCGTCTGCTGCTGTTTCGTTTTTCTTTTATCTTTCAAATTCCTTTGTTGGCTACCCGTTTTACATCCTACTTGTTGTTTATTCAAATGAAGACATACCGGAACGTATGAAAGAATTTGGGAAATTTCCTTCGAGCTTACAACTAAATTCCAAATTATTGAGAACGAAGTACACGAAGGATACACTGTTAAGAATTTTGTATTTCAGAACGCTGTCGAGTACATGGCTCACTTCATTAACTCTTTCTGATTTCGAAAAACTTCCTTTTCTTATGCTGTATCGTAGCATTCATTTCTTCATATCCACATTACAGTATTGAGGGGTTGGTTCGTGGATGGTCTTATTTATGTTGCGGTGACATACAATGAAGATTACAGATATTTATTATGCGCTCAATTGAAGAAATTCACTAATTTTGCTACCCCGATCTTCGGATGGATCGCTGATTCAAATAACGATTAGATGACTCATTTGTTGCAATAGCAGTTGAGTGTTCTTACTCGGCTCGATTCTTTGATGTTTGCTCTACTCCAGCTCTTCGAAGTTTGAACTTGAGATGGAGCTCGTGTTATGATATTTTCCATGAACGACCTCCTTACTTTTGCATGGTTTCGCCCGCCTGCTTCCTATTTTGATTTCCTCTCTTGAAAAAACTCTGTAAATTCTTTTTTGTCAGGAATTTTCATGGCTGACGTCGTAGAAAAAAGCAGTTGTTGGGAGTTTGCGTCCTCCCTTACAGCATCAGAACCGCTGCTAGGACGCGCACGCTTTTCCAATGACGGCATAAAAGCTCTAAACTAGGTCTATTAGAGTGGGACTCTGCATATAGTAACATCTCCAGTTTCATATTCAACGGAGTTAATGAAAACTTGTGGCTTGTGCTCCATCTTCTGCGTATCAGGTGCCAAGCCGCAATTGCTGGAACGACTACGTCCATTCGAGAAGACCATACTGGGCATGTCACCTCCTCCAACACCAGAACCGGCGCAGTTCAGCAATAGCAGTGCCATCTACGGCACGGTAGGATGCCCCACGCATGAAACTCAACACAAACAACCTGTGCAAGAGGTGGCCTACGAGACCGTTATGCAGGCTGAGTCGACTGGTGAGAACCATGTCAACATAATTTTCCAAAATGAATGTTTCCGAAGTTATGCTTTGTAGCCCATTGTCAACATACCTTGCTACGTAGTCATCAACAACCTTTTGAACAAGCGAGGTAAGGGTCGCTTTGTAAGTGCTAGATCATTAAAACTATTTTGTTCTCGATGAAACCCAAACCTTAATGCAAACAGCTCATCAATCCTCTGGATGGACAACAATCCGCTTTTCAGAAACGCTGTGGGAACCCATCATTATCACGAAACTCCCCTCGTTTTACATCTATCTTCCCAAGTTGTGCAGGTGTGGTTTACTCATTTCATTACAATTGGTAGTAAAACGGTAACAGCATTGAATAGTGAAACAAAGCTTTTTCGACTGTTTGGAGCGATTTTTCTTATCAGTTTATATACACTTGAACTCTGTGAATTTAAGCGGTGAATTTGAGACCTGATTATTCTAAACGCATGACGATTCTTTTTTTGATAAAATATGGCATGGAAGCAGACTGGTTTTACAGTTGCTATCAAGTCAGCAATGTTAGTCATGCACGTGAAAGGAAAGAAATCGAAAGGTACTCGATTCAAAAAAGAAACTTTGCGAAATCCATTGAAATTAATAGATGCAATAAGTTTCGGTTTCCTAGTAATGATGGAAATGAATGGAGATTTAGACTGGTGATTTAATATTTATGAACAATATCATAGAAGTCTAAAGGATAAAGTCTCGGGTGTCAACAATCCTGCCAGTGGGATGCATTCGACTGCCCACGCATTCGACTTCGCATTCGACTTCCATTCAGAATCGTAGAGGCGTATCGAATGCGTATGTGGCTTATACAATGAAATGCGGTGGCCAGCCAATGTACAAGTGCTTTTATCCTCCCTAGCGAGACTTGACCAATCGGATCCCGGAGGGATGGAGGACTCGGGATACCGATCCGGGAGAAACCGTGACCGTGCGTGTGAGATAGTGCGCCCCTTGCCACAACACCTTCTCCGCCCGAAAAACAATATTATATATACAGGGTGTCCCAAAACTATTTGCGCCGAAGTTCAGTAATTTTTAAGGCGGAAATAATCTATCAAATTCACATTACCTGTTATTAATTAGTTGCATAAGAAGGTTTCCTCGCAATATGCATGGTTGCTGATGTGGAACTCCCATTATCTTCCAGATGGAGGAGGCTCATTCAATGCCACTTGCAATCATTGACGCGCGAGAAGTGGAAGGGCGTTATGAAATTCTTTGCGATTTTTCTAATAACCGTATAGGAGGCTATCAAACGATATAGAGAAGAAGATTGAATCAGAGACAAACCAGGAAAGATAGAAAGGTAGAATGTTTCTGAAGTTAGGACTATTAACATGGTCCGTATGCCAATCGTTCGGGATCCTGGGTAACCCATCAAAAGGAAGTCAACGGGCACGGCTTATCCGAGTTATCGCGATGGAAGAATGTCATGCAGGAGCTTCACTGCCGTTGCTATCGTATGCAGAAATTTCGCTTTAATTCCGATCTCAATAGATACTGCAGGGCCAAAGTGCAGAAAGTCGAAAGTGGTGACACGCAACCCTTCGTCGTTTTCTCTGGTCAAGAAATTTTTGCGATAAATCCATTCCTCAACAACCAAAACGTTCGTGTTCCGGAAAGAAACATCCAGCGTGTAATATCTCACAAAATGGTTGTTATCAGAACAGTAAAATGATGTTTTTCGAGGAAATCACTGGCAAGGGTAAGCCGCTCGTGGTTTCTTCGGTGCAGGCGTGAAAATTGACCAAGACCAGTACTCAAACGGCGTACTGATGGAAGTAAATGAAACATTGATCCGACTACGTTTTCTGAA